GATAGCATCACTGAAGCAATGAGCATGAAACTGAGCAAACTCAGGGAGTCAGTGAAGGACAGGAAGGCCTGGCGCAATATGGTTCACAAAGAGTTGGAGACGATTTAACGACTAAACAACAACAAAATGTATTTTACTTTTATGTATTTTGTTTTATTATGTATGCCTCCCACAGTCACTACATGAGGTGGGTGGCTATGCAAATAAACAAATAATTTATGGAATGTATATGCCACCCAACTTCCAACAACTCTGGGTGGTTTATAGTTGTTAAAAACATTTAAAAACAAAGAACAAGAGAAAAACAAAACAAGAGAAAAGAACAAAGATGGCAAGAAAACAAACCTGGAGGAGGAGAAGGAAAGGGAAGAAAGGGTGTCAGCTGTCCTCACCAAAGGCCTTATTAAAAAATATTTCTTGAATGAAAAATTGTGTAGAGAACAATCACTGTGTCAGACCTCAATTTGTTTTAACTAGCTTTTAAATCATTTTTATCTTCAGCCTTTACAGTTGCAATGCACAAATACCTTATACAGCCATTGTAACCATAATTAAAGTTAAATTTGAGAAGGCCTTCAAAAACATACAGTTAAATAAAAAGAATGGTTTAATTATATGAAAAATTACAGTTATAAAAAGGGTGACAGTGTAGTATAGTGGTTGAAGTGTTAGAGTAGGATGTGGGAGTCTCAGATTCAATCCATCTTCTGCTCAGGAAGGTTACTGGGTGACTCTGACCTAGATACTATCTTTCAGCTCAAATTACCCAACAGAGTTGATGCAGTGGAAAAAAAAAAAAATGAAGGAGGAAATGTTTTATACTCTGCTCTTGAGTTCTGCAAGTAAATGTAAGACACAATAAATAAACATGTCCATAGTTTTGGGTTTTCCTTCTCTACACCCTATGGAAGTCACTGCTGTGAGGATATAGTTGTGGTCAGGTTCTGAGCCTGAAGAAATTCCCAACTAGAGGGATACCCCAAACAGCCAAAACAAGATGCAAAGTAGATCCTTCTGGAAGACTTCTCTTCTGTTAGCCCTACTTAAGTGGAAACACATCCAAGGTCATGCTTTTTGATCAAGTGCACTGCTGAACCAGAAAAAGATGACAAATTGAGTTCCATTATAACATCCCATAATCGTTACCCAAGATCATTAATGGCACCTTGGGAAGCACGCAGATGTTGCCATCCAGATTCTGCTGGGCATGTTCCCTACTGCCTCAGGTTTGCTGTGATTCCTGTTGTATTGTTCCCTAACTGCTATAGGTTTCTTGCCATCTAGCCCTCAGCATCATTTGGCACTGGCAAAAAGTAGCAGCTGTATAAAACAAAGGGAGACTATCCAATGGACCATAATAGTGGGGAGTAGTGAATTAAACAAAGAGAGATGGTGTCATAGATTAAGCTCACAAACATAAAGATCAAATAAATGTATTTTTTGATATCTAATTTTGGTTTGTCCAGATTTAACAGGGTAGTATTCATATATGCATATTTTTATATTGTATATAAAGCAGAACTGGATTCAGAGAAGCCTAGGAGTAATTGGACTCCAAATACATTGTAGTATTTAGATAAAAGTAGGTAATAATATTGTGGTGCAGTGATGAGTGTTACATTAACTATTAAAAATATGTCTGAATTCCAAGTTCTACTTACTTCATAGGTTATATTTGTAATGGTATAAAATAGAATTCCTATACTGTATTTAAAACAGACGTAAGGTCTTACTCCTATCTCAAGTATGATCCTAGGTCTCTTTGTTATATTACTATAATCCATACCCTTTCTCCCAATATTTTTACTGATTTAAAACATGAAATTATAAAAAACAAACAAAGAAAAGTACATTGCTGTTTTAACAGTGAATACAAATCACTGAATGCCAATTTCATAATACATTTTAAGCATGTGAAATTCCATTTCATACACCTAAATATGTTAGTATGCATAACGTTTAATTTTACGTATTCTGCTAATTACATTTGCAACAATGTAGCAATGGAAAAAATTAGTATTTTCCCCATGCTTTCCTAAACAGAGTCAAAGCACCCTCAGTAATACATTTCTGCCTCTGAAATAGGTTTTTAGAAGGAAAGCTAAACATAGTTTTGAGAAGGAAGCCAAACCATTTTCTGAATGTGTCTGCCATTGAGAAATTAAGATTGCCAATTGAAATTATAATAATGATATATTAATGGTCATGGGGTGTATAAGTTACATTTGGTTTGTTTTTTCCACGATTATATTTTGTAAAGTCTTTATGACCCTCAGGAGCCAACCTGTAATAAACAGCTCTCACCTTCGAAATCATAAAACCGGCTTTCAGTACTTGAGCATTTGATCTAATTGCCTTGCTACATCAAAGGAAATATCTGAGGACTGAGAAAAATCACAGACGGGAGGAGGGGGTAAAGGGCAGTTCTACCTCCAAAGGTTATGTGCTTGTGCCTTGGTGGAGCCCTGTAAAGTTATGGCCTAAAAACTGCTGTTTGCGATTAAGTTGATGGGCAAAAGTCTACCTAACAATTTCTCCCTGCTGCTGACACAGAGTCTTTGTTCACATTTAGATTTCTCAAACTGTTGCTAGGGTCAGGTGGAGGTCAGACACCATGATGATGTATAGGAGAACATGTCTGGGAATTTCTCTCATACTTAAAACACATACCAGAAAAAAGAGCACCCAGCTAAAATTGCCTGATGAGACCCAGATGATGACAACGTCGCTGTTCTTTTTAAAAATTATTATTCCTTATTTTCTCCTGGTCTGTGCTCTTTGCACACACACGCGCGCACACACAAACATACACTGTTTTATTCATGCTTACTCTGACAGCATTTATGCTCCTTCAAAATAAGGATGCTCCGTGTCATTTTGACACTTCGTTTTCTTTCCCAGCTGGAGATAGACTGGTAAATCAAAAGAAGGGGGAGGAGATCTATCCATCTGAGAGCATATTCAGCATGGAATTGCCATAGGTTGTGTTAGGCCATGAGTTTGGACTAGATGTGCAATGTGCACATGGTGCACGCATCTCTCTCTCTGTGTATACTTGCATTAACATAGCCCGGTCTAGTCACAATCACAAGCTTACAGCATCCCAAACTGTGCCCTCCCATCACCCTTAATAAACACAGCATTGTTTCCAGCTGTGACTAGGAACCTTACAGTGTTTGATTAGTTATACCACTGAGAGAGGGGGGAAAAGCATGCTAATACCAAGGGAATTGTTTATTCCATTCATTGCTGATTATTATTACATCTACATTTTAAGGAAGGCTGTTTCTTTTCTTTTCTTTTTTCCTGTTTCCCAATATTTCTGTTTCCCAAAAATATTTCTCCCCAAAAAGCTGTTGATATTTAGCTTACAGTATGGTGTACTCGAGAAATCAATGCAAAATATCCTGCTATATCTATTTCTATCTTTCCATCTATATTGTATATAATAGCTTGATAGTGGCTTCAATTGTTTTCTTGTATATTCAGCTCCACTGCAAGTAAAACACTAAGTAGCAATTTTTCTGTGCTCAGCTGCTCCGTATGACAGAGGATATTTCATTCTGCTGTCAGAATGTTATTAATAAAACATGGGGGGTGGAAGGGGCCACAATTTCCCCTTTCAATCACTATAGCATTTACAATGAAAATTTTATGTAGTGTGTAATTTTCAGTTAATGCTTGACACTTAAAATGTTGGTAGCTGCATTTTGTATGGTAGCTGAAGGGTTAATTGTATCATATTCCCCAAGCAAAAAATGCTCTGCTTATCAAAAGTGAATAGAGGCGTGTATGCAAATGCATGTCTGTGACCCTTTGCCTTTTCAGTGTTAATTTATATGGTCATTAAAGACTTTATGAAATTGAGCAGCCCGGTGTTTTGAATCCCATTTGATCACCTTCTCTCATCCTGCACTGGAAAATATGTGTCTGTCTGTCTGTCTGTCTGTCTGTCTGTCTGTCTGTCTGTCTGTCTGTCTTTCTTTCTTTCTTTCTTTCTTTCTTTCTTTCTTTCTTTCTTTCTTTCTTTCTTGTATTGCGATGAAAACAGCATGCTATGCAGTAGGGAGTTGCAAGTCTGGTTATCTGGCATTACTCAGATTGCTAAAATTCATTAAAATGTGACATCAGCACAGTCACAGACAAATGATCACAAGATGAAAAGGAACAGTAGGCCTTTCACGGATTAGTGCTACATGGCCTTAGCCTAGAAGTTAACTGCATAAAAAGATTAATCCACTAGTAGCAACATAGCTAAGATTTACTGAATAATTAAATTGGGCTGAGTTACTGTGAAGATTTTCATGTAATCTAGCTGGTGTGAACATGTAAGTGAGGTGTAGGTAAGGTCACTTTTTTAGAGGCAATATGCCAAGTTGTTTCATTTACCCCCAACTCGTTCCTCCTGAAGAAGAAATCTGAGATCTCCTTGTATTTACAGACTGAAATTAGCAAAATGTATGGATTCTAATCAGATTTATTTTTGAGAGGTTTCTCAAATACATTACTATATAGAACTTATTATGTTGAATACATTACTTTAGTAATACAAATTATTTGTAGCCAATAATATCTACTTGTTCTGTAGCACTAGGTATCACTGTATGTCTAAGAAAATATGGTTCCAGGGCTACACCATAACAACACAGATTATTAATAATTGATATCTCATCTCTTCTAAGTATCCTTTCAATTTCTTCTTTTCTTACAACGTCTCATTAAATGTAATCCTGATCTTATTAAAGATCATATTTACAACTGATGTTGAACGGTCCCTAAGTTAGCTTTTTTGTCATTTTTTTCAATGCTCCTTCACAGAAGAACAAGTTGAAGATGCAGAAGGGTCTGCTAAAAGCTCATCAGTGGCTGTTGCTGATGATAAAGACACATGTGAGAAAGAGAGAAATAAAAGTGAAGGCAGAAAAGCTAGTAAAGACTCTGGTAAGATGCTAGAATTTTTTTCACTCTTTTAAAAAGGGCATTAAATAGTTTTGTTTGTTTGTTTGTTTAATTTAAAACTGTCTGGGCATTCCTGTATTATCTATTGCATGTGTATTTTGCATGTGATTTTTATCAGTAGCCTGACATTGACCTATTTTTAATCATAACCATCTGACAGGATAGATGTGGATAAGCTGAAGAATATTATAGGACAACTAGTGAGATTATTTTTTAATCAAATCAGTTTGTGTGCTTATAATTTTTTAAGCACCTTTCATTAATCTTAGCTGTACTTGTATTCCTCTGATGGCATATTAATTTTTCATAAGATTCTATACTACTTGAAAAATTTCCCCTGTGTTCATGTTTCATCCCTTTGCGGAGCCCTAAGACAATGGGAATGCTTCCCCCATCAACCCTCTGTTCTTGATATATGATCACTTAGATTCAGGAATCTTCCCTGTTCGTGGCCATTTATCTGGTATTTACAGGAAAAAAAATACAGAAAATCCATGAAAAGGTTTACAGATGATTTGGCCAAGAAAGAGGAAATATCATTGAAAACAGATTATGAGCTGGGAAATATTGATTTCTAAGAATATACAAAGCTCTGTAATGAAAGCTACTGTCTTTGAAAACAGAACTCCCATGTCCTGACATTTACTTGTGCACAAACAAACCCAAGGCCAGCATCTGGCATAGATACACAAGGCTTTTTCTGTATTTGATTTGGCAAAAATGTGACTTCATCCATGCTTTTTATTTATGAGATGGAAATCTATGGTCACAATGAATATTACATTGGCTACTTTTGCTGCACGCTATTCCTAGTTATATTATGCTGGATTCACTGAAGCAGAAGAGGTGCTGAAACAGGTTGAAAGCTATTAGTTTCAGGTGCTCATATATCTTTTCCTTGAATCTAAATGACAGCAGCAGATAAAAGAGCTTGTATTCACCATAAAGACATTTAGTTATACAGGAATTATTATTTTACATGCAAATTTATTTTCATCTAAATGAACCATTATTTATAGAGATACTGCTAAAATATTGTTTACTTTGTCAGAAGTATGAAAACACTGGTTTTTCTTTATGCCAAATTCATTAATATTTAAGGAATAAAGATTTGGCTGATAGATTAATGTCAACTATTTATCACTGCTCAAAAATATCAACAGCACCAGAACTATTTTGCTTTTGAATCAGGAACTGAAGAAGAGCTGTTCATAGCAAAGTTTGATCTGTAGGGATTATTTAAAATATACATGCCCTTTCCTTGGAAGGTGAATCTAAAAGCGGTATTGAAAGATATACTGCTTCAGCTCATTACTGGGGTCACTGTAGAAGTGTAATGGAAAAAGAGACAAATTTTATTTGTGAAACATTTGGCTTCTTCCATGTTGTGCTCTGTCAAGTAAGCCTTATGTTTCAGAGATCTTTTCTGCCTAATTTATTTGCTATAAATCATCTGAGTTCTTTGATTAAGCACATTTTTAATGGGCCAATAGGCAAAAATGGTGGTCTTCAGAAACATAGATAGCAGATTCCATGAAGATTAAATTCTCAGAAGGATCAAGTTTAATTAGCCTCAGCTATACTCAGGTTGTCCTGTGGTGTAAGAGTGTTTTAGTTGTGCAGTGAAATACCTTTAGATGCTAAAGGCAGATGCTTTTCTGTTGATTTTATAAGAAGCTTGGAAAAATGAGTTCACATTTTAAATTCTCAAACTGACCTTTTGAATCCTACAATAGAATTCTCTAAATTAATTCTGCATATAAAGTATTCATTCAATGAGGTTAATTCTCAACACAGCTGACAACTATGTTTAATGACTGCATAACTGCTTATGTATAATTGAATGTTAATTTGGATTTTCTTCTCCTGAATTAAGTATTGGCAAAGAAGTCCCAGGAAAACCAACAAGTTAATCATAACCTTAACAAGCTAGACAGAAAAGTGCTCTCGCCCCTTTTTAGCATATAATGCATTAGAAAAAAAGGGATTAACATGTTTGGTGCTCAAGCATTTATATAAATTGTTGTTCTGTATTGCCTTCCTTATCTCAGATGGAGGCTTTCAAAAAAGACTTGGCAATAAGCAAACTATGTTTACTGAATATTGATTTAGAAGACAAGAGCCTCCTAATGCCTCATTTATATTGTCATTTAATTCTAGTGCCACTTTAGATTAATTATAATCCAAATTACAACTCAACAAAGTGTAGGAATTAATATGGAATGCATCCAGATTAATACATTTGCATAGAAAATGTAATAAATTTCTGACATGGCTAAAGGGAACACTATTTAACAAGGTGGTAAATATAAGGAATAATGGAAATTCACCTTAATTGTTGCAATAAAACTATTCTTAAGTTCTAATTAGAAAGAATCCTGTACTGACTTCTATAATTTTTAGGATTATATTATATTTTAATAACATCAATTGATAAGTCAGAAGCCCTAGTCTTTATCAAGTTCATTGGTTTATAAATACAACTGTTTATAGCATGTTTGTAGTACTTTATTTCACAAGTTTATATATTTGATTGGATTTTCCCTCTTGTAAACTTAAATAACGTAATTTATTTATGTTAAATTCATAATCTTTGTTATTTTAGGATTAAAGATTTATAAAATGCATGACTATTTGAATCACACAATTCTGGCTTACTTGTAAGAATAATTTACTATTCCATTCTTATGACACAGACCTGTACGTTTTTATTCAGAAACCCAGAAAGAATCAGTTGAAGTATGAGTAAGCATGCCATGCAGACGCAGTCAATGGATTATAGCCAATGGGGTCTGCTTGCCAATGAGACAAATTCCTTCTTCCAGTCCTTCCCCTTATCCTATATGCACTCCCTTAATCTGCTCCATATGATTAAGGATCCTCTGGAACAGATTTAAGTCATGTGCAAGCACATACATCATGAGTACAGCAAGAGGAAATCCCATTGCAAAATACTGATGGATTTGCAGTCTTAGGTAGTTATTTACCATTGACTTTTGCCTTGATCTTAAATGATAGCATTATTTTTTTTAAAGAATTGTGCAGAAAGAAATTGAGAAATACTTGTATTATTACCAGAATAATTGCAAATGTGTGTGCTTAAAAAATATTACCAACTCAGCATCAAGCATAGTATAGTACAAGAGTACTATCTTCAGTATGAGGCTACTTTTTATACTAAACCTTTAAGAATGTACTATGCAATAAGATATTTATTTATTTATGTATAATATTTGTAGTGTCATTAGCTCCTGAAACAGTCCATTACAATCCTAGCAATAGTAACTGATGTTTTGACAAATTCCCTACCACTGAATTGACTCATTTGAAAAGTATACTGTATTATATTTACGTCATGGAACACCTTCACATTTTCGGTAGCTTCTGAATGTGGGTCCAAACATAGGAAGCAGACTCATACTGTATATGGCACATGTCTATTAGGGATTGTTTGTAAATTCATATATGATATATGTAGACTATATTCTACCCCCCCCCAAAAAAATCAGATTCTTTCAGTTTTCCATGTTAATAATGCATTGTCAGTTCTATAAATAGTTGAAGTGTCATATAAATCAGACAGCTGATGTTTTGGCAATTGTTGGTCATGAAAAGGCTTGTTTTGCTCATCCTACTCTTAGGAAACATGTTAAAAAACCAAATTTGCCACAACTTAATATATAGAATGCAAGGAATACAAAAAAAAAAAAGGTAGTTCTCACCATAATTTAGTGTATAGCAGACAAATAACAGACTAGGCATTGGGTACTTGGCTTTAATCATAAAGAATAGGTTAAGAAACAGAATACTGCAGGTGCCCCAGCTGTGTGGCTTACTTTAATCAAACTTTTATTGAGGCAAATGTAGAATTTTCTTCGGTACTGTATATGTATATACCTAATGTAAGAGCTCCAATGGTACCATGTTTGCCAAAAGGGATAACCCTGAATTTAAACAATTTCCCTCAGAAGGAAGAGTATGTGTATATATTTGTATACAAATACACATATACAAATACACACTTTGATGCAATGCTGTCTTCCCCATTGTATCAAGTTGGGTAGCCAATGGCAACTGAGAAAACTCCTTGGGATTTCCTCCCCCATAAATGTGTACTAGTGACACACTTTCCTATAGGCGTACATAAGTTGTATAAAGGCACACTCCCCAAAACATTAGATTCAGGCTAAAAAAGGTATATTAAGCAATATTTATATTAAGTAATATTAATGACTGATTAAAAATAATTTTCCAAGTACAATCAATCGACCTCTCTTCTGTATCTTTCAAACATTCTCTGCCATACGCAAACCACACTTCCACACAGAAACACACAAGCATACACTACATTCACCTCCCTTCTTCCAGCAAAAAATGAAGAAAAAAAAGAGCTGGGTGCATTGGAAAGGCAGGGATGAGAAAAGGGGAAACAAACCGAGTACAGATGGGATATGGAGAAGAAGTTGCTGCCTAGGGAAAGAAAGAAAACAAGGGAGATAGAAACTCTGTTTAGGCAACACAAAAAGGGTTAAAATTAACCAGAGACAGGAATGAGCACTGCCATCAACTAGTAGCACAGATATTCACACTTTTAGCATCTCCTGCCTGTACATCCCTCAGATAATATAAGGCAGCCCATCCTTCCAACTGATAAGTCATTTGGAGAATAATTCATCTCCTTATCAATTAAATATAGTTTACAACCTATTTTTTTAATCTAGGTTGTACATATTCCATCATCCTTTTTACACAAATATACTCATTTGTGAAAAGTAATGAAAGTAAAA